GGTTTAGACGCATCACTGAGCCCCCCTGGCCTCAGTCTCCTCCTCTGTAAAGTGGGCGGCCTCGCTTAGCTTATCTCCAACTTCCTCTCAGATACTAAAAGCTCCCTCACCCTGTGCTGTGGGTTAAAGATGACACCCCGGGTGGAGCAGCTCTTTGCACAGGGGCACGGTCCTCTGCAGGGAGATGCACGGCCCTGTTTCAAGGACGGATACAGAGGACACGTACTCCGGTCTTCCTCCCCCGGCGCGGCCACGCCCTGTGCAGTGGCAGGCAGTGGAGCTAGTTCTCTAGGCCTCCGTGTCTCCACCTGCACCAAAGGCAGGTCCGACCTTCCCAAGGACCTTCCTATGCTGACCGTCTGGTTCCGAGGAACTCCCCTCTCCCCCGGCAGGTGCGAGAATGAGGGATGCACCCTATGAAGTGCTGGTCACCTGTGAACCCCACTCCAGGAGGACACACAGGTGTTGCCACCGTTGTCCCCGGGCCCCGTGCCTCCAGGTCAGAGCTGTGGATTGGATCGCCCAACCTGAAAGAGAAGTCTCGTTAGAACTTCCAGTCGTGAGATTAGATACGAGACCCAAAAGGAACCAAGGTCCCGCCTTCAGGAGTGAGGCCGGCCCTTGGGGTTTCCCCCTTTGACTCTGCAGGGTCAGGAGAAGAGATCTGGCCTCGTCCACCAGTCTTTGCACCACTGACCCCTCTCGCCCCGGAGTTTCCACGTCAGGAATCTGTCCTGGGGAGAGCAGGGGTGTGCAGGGAGACAAGGGTGTCCATGTTCATCAACAACAGTGTGATCGAAAACAGGAAAACCGGGGACAAGCAAGCTGTCCAACAGGAGGGGAATGGTTCAGTCAGCCGCAGGGAGCCCACAGCGGGGCATGTGCAGTCACGAGAGTACTCATACGTAAAAAGCCCACGTCACCTGAAGGGGAAAAGGGGCCACACACAACATAACTATCCTATGTCAGAGAAGGAAACATGAAAACAAGAATGAGAAGAAGAATATCCACCAACATGGTAACGATGATGATCTCTGGGTGATAAAATGATGGCTATTTAAAACTGTCTTCTCTTTTTCCTCATCCGTGCCTGTTAGGTTTTCTAAAATGAGCATCTGTTACGTATAACAAAAAGCGGCGTCCTGGTAGAAATTACATAATGGCAACCACTCTTCCTTTCAAAACGCTTTCTATGAAAAGGGACTGCCTTCTGCTGTGTCCCTTCACCCACTTGCTCTAAAAGTGTTTGAGGGCCCTGCCCCAGGCGCTCTGCTGGGCGCTGGCGCTACATCTGTGCACAGCGCAGATGAGCACCCTGCGTGCCTCCCGGTGGGGGGAGGAAGGGAAATATGTAAGGGGTCGTGAGGAGAGCGTGAGGGGGGACAGGGTGCCGCGCTGACTAGGGCGGGTGGGGAAGCTCAGGCTCTAAGCGTCACCAGAGCAGAGATGGGAGCACGCCCTGGGCCTGCACGGGTCCAAGGAAGCACGGAGTGCGAAGGCCCTCGGCGACAAGCAGGCTCGGTGTGTTCCAGGAGATGAAACGTTAGCCAGCGACCAGCAGGCATTTTGTTCACCCAGGTGTGCTCCCCAGGAGGCCAGGATGGCCGTAAAGGAGCAGAATCTTAATCCCTTGCCCGGTGGCCGAGCAGGAGGTCATAGGCGCCAGGACTCATGGCCGGTTAGAGATACACAGGCGCGGCTGCACTCCGTTAACGGAGCCACTGAAACACCTCCCAGGTCCTTTGGGTTGTCGGCTCCAGGAGCCACGTGACTCCCTGAGCTAACGCTGCCGTGGCTGCAGGTGAACGGCTACCTTAGATGTAAGGCGCTGTGCTGAGGTCCCGGTTGTCCATGGCATCACTGTTTGTTACCCATGGAGCGTCACCGAAACGCCATCCACGTCCTATTGCTGGGGCTCTTGGGATGAGCCCTGAACACAGAGCATTTTCATTGTAGGGAGGAAAGTTTAGAAGAAACCCACAGTATTCGTCTGCTCCTGTGGTTGGTCGCCGTTGGCCCTCCACCCTCGGGATCTTAGAAAGAAGCTTCCATTGTTCCCGGTCCCTCTCTCTACACTTTGCAGACATCTTCGATCAATACGTTCTTCCAAGCCGTGTTTTCTATTAGGCGAGAGGACACAGCATTGCCGAAGACATTCTCAGAATAGGTAGGAACGTACGCAGGGGTAGTGGAATGGAGTTGAACAGTCCAGCATTCTTCGGAGGGTCCCCCAAAGGCTCTGTGGTCATAGGATGGACCCCTGGAAGACCTGGAATTCTTCGTCTCTGCATTCTCACGGTAATGAATCGTTGGGGTTAGGTTTCTACTGAAGAGTTCTTTCTCTCGGGCGCTGTCATATCAGAGGCTGGTGACAGGACTCCACACTTTCCCCGGGTCTTCATTCTGTCTTCCCACATCCCGCAGATAAGACATCATCATTATGCAAACCCCCTGCGTTGCAGAGTAGCTATGGTATTAAGTGAAACCATTTGGAATTGCCATTACTGTCAGACAGACAGTCCCATCTCATCAGTTACAAATGGCCCAACCGAATAGAAAATGAACATCCCCCGCGATCCGACGCCTCGTAGCGACCCGGCGTTGTAGTTTGGCGCATCCACCGCTCACGTTTAATTTGAAAAGCCCCCCACAGTGAGCTGCAGAGCCTCTCGCAATCCAAACGTGGGCTTTAACCGCACCCGCACGCCTCCACCCCACCTCCGAGAATCAGGGGGGGTGGGGAGGGGGTGCCGTCCGGTTCACTTGTCGTGATGTGCTTTACAGAAACAGCAGCACAGGAGTCCCTTAAGGTGGGAGCGCCTTCGATGGCGGCAAACCGTTGTGACTTTTCAGGAATAGCTCTTGTGTAAGAGGAGGTGTGTGTCAGTTATTAAGGAGTGAGTTTCCTGATAGGAGAACACTGCTCATCCCCACAACCCCGGCTTATGAAAATGGCATAGGACATTCTAAAAGAGAAAAGAAAAACGGAAGCCACGGGACATAGTGCTGTAAAATAAAATGCCTTCAACTACTGAAGATTTCGCAGGCTTTCTTAAAAATTAGGCTAAAACTCAGCATGGCTTACTGGCCATGAGTTAGCAACTCAGAATCCAGGACTTTCCCGTTCCTTGAAAGATGGCCTGGTAGCCTTAGGTCCAGTCTGGCACTGGGGAGACTGAGAGGCAAGGTTTGAGCTGGGTTTTGTGGGGATCGTGAGGGCCTGGCTCCGACGGGAAGAATAACGGAAGACCCACGGCAGGAGCGCAGCTGGCGTGGCCGGGACAGAGGGCAGGGGCGTGGCAGGGGCTCCGGTCAGAGGCAGGGCCCAGCCAAGCGTCTGTCTCCTCGTCCTGTGAGGACTCAGCCTTTTCTCTCCGCCCCGTGGGAACCAGAGCTCTGGTTGGGTTACAGCCCCCACGTGCCTGGGTGAAAAGGCCCGTCTCAGTGTGGAGGCGCCCCCACCGCCCACGTGCCCCCTTCTCGGCCCTGGCGTTGAAGAGTGTTGAAGGCGGGACTGTTGGGAATGCCGATGAGGCGGGACCCCTGGCCTGGCCCGGCCCATCGCAGTGTCCCCTGAGTTACAGGTGTGCACGCTCCGCAGCTGCTTCGAGCACCCGGAGCAGCGAGTCCGCGGAGTTTGGGTCTTTTCAGATGTTGCTGCGGACGGAGCTCCTGATAACATACACGTCATCTCTTTGCGCCTCTTTCCGATAACGTTTTCTTTTTATAAATCAGAAGAGCATGGTAGAGTGACTTAGCCGGCATTCTCCTCTCAAACTCGAATTTCCCGGTTAGTCATTTAAAGTTAGACGCAACCCAGAAGGTCTCTCAACTTGGGCCGGGTCCCAGGGCAGCCGCCGGGAGGACGGGCTGGTCCTGAGGTTGAGGGCGGCTCTGGTGGGACCCGAGTCCTGGCTTTCCTGGCAAGTCTGTCTTAAATGGCCTTCCATCCTCTGTCGGAGGGGAGGCCGGTCTCTGTGTCATGGCAGCGCAGGCTCTGTGGTTACAGAGCATCCGTGTTCCCTGCGGCCCCTAAGTCCACCTCCCACGTGCGCTGCCAGCAGGGGTTGAGTTCAGCTGTACTCAATGCTTTTGACCTTAAAGCAGAAAAGTAGGGCCCATTTTCCCCCCGTGTTTTGTTGTTGTTGTTTTCTACGCCCCCTCCCCCCACCCCATGTTTTAATATCTCTGCTTAACTGGGCTGCTCAGCCCCTCCGAGCATGCATTCAGGCCACGCGGTTTGATCCCTATATAGACCAGTTTTTTTATAAAATATATTTTTATTGATTTCAGAGGGGAAGTGGGAGGGAGAGAGAGATAGAAGCATCAATGATGAGAGAGAATCATCGATTGGTTGCCTCCTGCACCCCCCCTACCAGGGATCGAGCCCGCAACCTGATCATGTAACCCATGTAGACCTCTTGGTTTATGGGTGGATGCTCAACCACTGAGCGCACCCACTGGGTGTTACTGTGCCTCTTAAAGGAGCAGTACATCACCCCCACAGCTTGCCACGGAGGTTCCTCTCCAGGGGACGTGGTCTCCCTTTTGGCAGGGGTACAGTTTCCTTCTGCAGGGGAACCTTCTGTTGGAAAATCTACCAATAAGGAAAACATCAGCGCACAGTTTATTCCTTTCCTCGCATGGTAACTGTGTGAAGCCCCCACTTCCCCAGCCGTTACGTTTATATCCCGGGGTGAGACCCAGCCTGCCCTGGGCAGAGCCCCCTGACTTGGTTCTTGGTTAACAAGAGAGTTGTCTCTGCATTAGTCAGGGCGGTTTCTGGGCACTTGGCAAGTGTTGCCCTTCGCGTGAGTACAGCCACTAAGTGGGAATAGGTATGTCTCCTCAGGCCCCTCGCCCCTCTTCTCGCCGCCTCCCACCTCCCACCTCCCACCTCCCACCTCCCAGGGGCATCAAGCCTGGTTACAGTGTTCCCTGTCTGTCTTTTCCTGGGGAAAGAATGCCTGACTGTGTGTCCCTATCTGCTTGCTGTTCAGAAAGCCAAGCTTGGCCCTGCTGGGAACAGAGCGTACGGCCCCTCACCAGACAGGAGGCTTTCCAACAACCTGGACCGCGTGAAGCTCACCGACTTCAATTTCCTCATGGTGCTGGGGAAGGGGAGTTTTGGAAAGGTAAGAAGGAGGGCCCGGCTGGGCCTTCGTCCCGCGTGCCGGGTCGGCTGGTTCCCCTGCTCCCTGTCCCTGGGTCTCAGGTGCTTCCCACCTCATTTCATTACAAACAACTGCATCCGAACAGCGACCGAGGGTCGCCGTGCAGCACCGTGCATCTCGGTGCTCGGAGCAGAGTGGGTGCTCCACGGTGTTGGCCGAGTGAATAGCTTTCACGCCTGGAAATGAAGCGTTGACTTGTAGTAAGTGAATGGAATTATTACAAGATACCGAGCTGAGCATCTTCAGCCTGTGTGACCACATTTGGCTTTTCTGGCCCCAAATCTCACCCTACATGCAGGAACTCATTTCTGTCCTGCCTGCTTCTTTGTCTTGGTTCCTGGCTCATGAGAAGCTTATGAAAGTCAGTCCCTTTTTTGCCCTCAGGCTGCTCCGGGAGAAATGCACAGTCCCACCCCAACGCTGATAATGTTGTGTGTTCCTATTAGCAGCTGCAACAGCGCCATCGTGTGGCGACAGCCTGCACAGTGTGCAAATCTGGCCGCCTTAAAAAAAAAAAAAAAACGGCAGCGTGCGGGAGGGATTGGCAGCGACCTGCGATGTTTCATAGTTTGCACATCAAGTGGAACTTTATGAATGCTTTCACGTCACACGCTTCCACCGTTGCACGCACTGTCTCCCCGACCGGGCTGCCCCCTGCCCCCAGCCGGTCTCAGGTGGCCCCTCCTCTGCTCTCAGGTGATGCTGGCGGACAGGAAGGGCACCGAAGAGCTCTACGCCATCAAAATCCTGAAGAAGGACGTGGTGATCCAGGACGACGACGTGGAGTGCACCATGGTGGAGAAGCGCGTGCTGGCCCTGCTGGACAAGCCCCCGTTCCTGACGCAGCTGCACTCCTGCTTCCAGACCGTGGTAAGGACCCGGCACACCGCACTCGGGCTGCCCCGAGCCCACGCACTGTCCTACCCACGTGACTTTGCAGAGAAGGTTGGAGACCGCTCAGCCCTGAGCCTTCTCCGCCCGGCAGAGGCGACCGGGGACAGCCCCTCCGCCTGGTGCCATGGTCAGTTCGGAGCCTCCCCTCCCGGTGGGGTGCCCTACTTAGAGACTTGGCATTCGTTCCATTTAATTCAGCAAACGTTTGTATCAAAGGTTTTCTTCCTGCCAGGCAATGTGCTGGGACTTCGAGACGGAGCAACAATAAGATAACTCAGAGTGCTGGCTCGGTAGCAGGCCGGCTAGCCAGCTGCCCAGCGTTGCCTGGGGACTTTCGGAGGCTCGGTTTTATAAAAGAGTGTGTTCCTCTTCAGTGCACACAGCAGGGGTGGGCAATCTGGCCTGTGCTGTTCAGCCTCTGAGCTCTAAGAAAGGTTTAAGAAGCAATAAGAATTCCATTTCATGGCATGTGAAAGGTAGATGGAGTTCAGGTGTCAGCGCCACGAGAAGGTGTCTTGGCGCACAGCCAGGCCCAGACAGTCACCATCATCAGTGGCCGCCTTCCTGCTACGAAGGCAGGGTTGGGTAGTAGCAAGACATGCACACAACCTACAATATTGACTGTCTGGCCCTTTAAGGAGAAAGTTTGCTGAGCCCTGTCCTATGGTGGAACTAGGCAGAGGACAGAGAATATTCCGGAGCACTACTCAGCTAGTGGCGGGACCCGGGCCCTGGCGTGGTGCTTGCAGGTGGCCTGCAAGAAATAGGAACTCGGAGATGGCACCCAGTGCGGCATCCCCACTGCTCAGCCGCTCTCCTCGCTAAGAGAGGGCTCAATCATCGGTCGCTGTAACGTTACTGTGTGGTGGTTACAATTCCCTCAGCCAGAAATTGACTTTCTGTTTTCTGTCTCCCTTTAAATATCTGTTGGGAGGCGCCCCCTTAAAGCTCTTGGATTTTAAAATCTCACAATGGCAGTGCAGCCGCAAAAGATCAGACGTGGGGTGCAGAGCCGGGTGCGGCCATCGTGTGCCCGCCTAGCGCTAGGGCCCGGGCAGGCAGCTCCCCGCTCCCAGCAGCATCCGAGTAGCACTGAGGAGAGAGAGACAATGTGCGAGGAAGAGAGAGCCACGTCTTGAATCCCAGCCCAGATCCTGTAACCCTGGTTACGCTGATTAAGCTCCAGAACACTACAAAGCAGAGAAATAAAGATGAAATTAAAGTTCATAACGGCAAGGCTGGAGAAGGAAGCTCCCAGAGCCGTTTCCTGCCTGGTGGCAGCAGCTTCATCATTTCTCCTTCCCTGGGCAACACTTCAGTGTTTCATAACCTCTGAAATGGCGATGTTTTCTAGAAGGGAACAGAGGTCAGCTGTCAGCTGGGCGTGCTGTCCCTGCGACCCCCACTCCGTCTCCCCTCTGTCCCAGCACACTGCCCTCAGACGTATGCACATTTATTTGGTTCTATGATGTGCGCCCTTCCTGGGGCCAGCGCTTAGCATTCCAGTAAGAGAGGACATCAGACCCACATGGGCATATTATGGATGCCAGAGCGCTTTTGATTCGCCTCCCCATGTGCGGTCCCCTCCCCCACAGTAAATGTGGTTGAGCATTTATAATGCATACGCCCAACCTGACTCACAGGGTTTGTGTTCAGAAGCACCCAGCTAAACATATGACTGCATTGCTCTCGCATGCCTCTTAGACAGTGCAAAGCAGAAACACTGGTTGAAACTAAATAATTGGCCCCTATGGATTCCTCAGTCGCCCCTAACTTAGGACAGTGTTCTGTGTGTGGGAGCAAAGGGTAGACCATTTGTGGCCATGACTGTCACAGGGAGCATACGTGACCAGAGGAGCCGTGACATCCGAGTTAGGTACTGACCACCTCCCCAGGGCCCTCACGCAGTAGGTCCGTGACTTACTCTTCACTTGGGAAGAGACGTGTCGAAGGGCGGCCCTGTGCGGACTGTCAGCGTGGCCCACGCTTCCCTAAGAGAAAGCCACGCCCGGTCTGGGAAGCGTGAGGGGCGCCTTCCCCTACTCAGCTCACCTGTCGCACTTGGCCTTCAGGATCGGCTGTACTTCGTCATGGAATACGTCAACGGCGGGGACCTCATGTACCACATCCAGCAAGTAGGAAAATTTAAGGAGCCACAAGCAGTGTGAGTATTTGGTTTAAGTCCCTTAGTTGAGACACACAGCAGCCCCAGCTGGGAGCTCCTGGCTGGGTGAGATGCAGGTGGGCTCTGCCCAGTTCAGGGGAGGGACGGCTGTCACCTCTGGGGGGTGGGGGGGCAGGTTTATTGGCGGGGTCCATCTCCGTGTGTCCTAAGGAGAGGGTTACGTGCTTCTTGTACATCGGGATGCGGGCGCAGTCCGCCCTTGTTGGTTGGCTCAGCCCCTCTGCCCCTCAGTTAATGGACTCATGGTCATGCGCACCCACCACGCCCCAGGCAGCGGGACAGTGAAGGCGTGAGCGGCCCCTGCCCTGGGAGCTCACCCTCTGGCCGGAGTGGGGGGACTCACTCGACAATTGTAACTTGTTGCCATAACATTAAAGGTGGCCCAGGACACCATGCAAACCCCCAAAAAGCGGGGGGTGAGGGAAGGGCATCCTGGGGATTGCCCGTCCCAGAGGCTCAGGATGTGGAGGGGCAGTGGAGGGGGTGTCACTCCGGGTGACACTCCCAGTGGGTGCCAGGCTGGGGAACGGGAAGGTAGGTGTGGCCACGAGGAGGGGGAGATGGGAGGGCGGTGTGGCTGGTGAAATCTATGGAGAGCAGAGAGAACAACGCGGAGGGACTCGTGTGTTTGAGAACTCTCTGGAGGAAGAGGACCAGACGTGGCGACTGTGGGGGTGAGCAGAGAGAAGCCTCTTCGTGTGACGCCCCGTTTTAGGTGTGGGGGGGCAGCCAGCCAGGAGGAAGGGGTTGGGGAGAGAATCGGGAGCTCCATTTGGAAGGTTTCATTGGGACGCGCCTTGGATGCCGGAATAGGCATCAGCCACGTGGGAGAGAGACCGGCTCCAGGGAAAGATGGAGAGTCTTCCGTCCAGAGGCAGGCGTGGGTGCCTGAGAAGCCATCCCCCTTCTCGGGGCCAGGAAGCCCCAGGCAGCACCGGGGAGCAAAGCTGAACACACAGCGCTTCCTTCCCCTCCACGGGGACGCTGGTGGCGTGTGTCCCGGAGGAGGCCCGTCTGCACGTGTTCATGGGATTCTGGCTGACGTTCATGGGAGAGTTGAGTCCGAGACGCTGGCCTGTGTGCAGGGTCTGCCCTTGGGAAGGTGGCGCAGGCGCGGGGGATGTCCGCTAGCAAGCGTAGAAAACATGAAGGCGGGTTTCATTCTCTTCCGTTTTCAGAAACGCCTGCCCTTATCCCCTCGCTCGTGTTGTCCGTCAGAAAGCCTTAGCATGCTCGGATTGTCGAGTGAAGCTGAGCTAAAGAGCATGGCGCGGAATAGCCACCCTGTGTTATAAAGTGACAGTGCCAGTCCCCTTTCATTGTATTTGTGTTGCCAGGAAGGTTTTATTTTTAAAAAGATAGAAAAGCCCGAAAAATATTGTCCAAGTCGCCTATAATCCATCTCTTATTTCTCTCCGATCTCTCCCCTCTCCCACCAGCCCCCCCCCAATACACACACACACACACACACACACGCGCACACACACCAGTGAGGGGTTTGGTCCTTGTGGTTGGGTTTTCTCGGCTCACGCAGACATCTGTGCTCACCTAGGCCTCCTGGGTCGATGTGTGCACAGGCAGTTCTGTGGCTCCTCAGACTTCAGAGCTTCCTGAATATGATACCAATTTAAAACATCTCTCAGCGTTTATCCTGAGTGTTAGACATGCACCTACGAATGATTCTGAAGTGACGGCAGCCGCTGCTTTCTATTATGAATTATTTAGAAAGATAAACTCGGGCATGAGTCACGGCGTGTGCCCCACTTATCCCGGCGCTCGGGGTAGAGGTGGGGGTGAGGAATCCAGCTCAGGAGCTCACCGCACACTCCGCTTCGTCTTCCAGGAATAACCGTGTGTTTAACACTGATGTATTCTGTTCAGGAGGAGGAACGTGGACATCGGCTCCGCCGCCGTCCCAATCGGCTCTGGCAAAGAGCAGTCTAACAGCCACTCTTTAAAAAAAAAATTGATTGGTTTCAGAGAAAGGAAGGGAGAGGGAAAGAGAGAACCATCAATGATGAGAGAGAATCATGGGTCAGCTGCCTCCTGCACGCCCCCTACTGGGGATTGAGCCCACAACCCAGGCATGTGCCCTGAATGGAATCGAAACCCTGACCTCCTGGTTCCTGGGTTGCCACTCAACCACTAAGTCATACCAGCCGGACTAGCAGCCACTCTTTAAGAGATTGTATTAGGGCCCAGCCGGTGTGGCTCAGTGGTTGAGTGTCAACCCAGGAACGGGGAGGTCAGGGTTCGATTCCCGGGCAGGGTGCATGCCTGGTTGCTAGCTCAATCTTCAGAGTAGGGTGTGCAGGAAGCAGCCAATCCATGATTCTCTCTCATCATTGATGTTTCTCTCCCTCTCTCTCTCTCTCTCTCTCTCTCCCTCTCCCTCTCCCTCTCTCTCTCTCTCCCTCTCTGAAATAAATAAAAAATATATTTAAAAAAATTTTTTTGAACAAAGATTGTATTAGGAAATTCTCTTATAAGTTACCTGTCCACCTGCCCCAGACGAGAAGTGCTTGTTTCTGGGCAGGAGCTAAATCCATCTCGTTGGTTTTATTAGCTGTGTCATTTGTAGGGGCAGGTGGAGCGATGAACGGCAGAGGGAAGGGCGGGGGGCGCTGGAAGAGCAGGCGGGGGGCGACACTAATCTCTGACAATCTCACTTCCCCGGCGCCTGGACTGGGTGGGACGGGGACCAAGTGCCCAGGAGTCCAGAGGAGCCTGACCAGCTTTTTCTCTCGCAGATTCTATGCAGCAGAGATTTCCATTGGACTGTTCTTCCTTCATAAACGAGGAATCATTTATAGGTGCGTGGCGAAACTCCCCCACCCTCCGTGCAGTTGAGCATTTGGCTGGACCCCTGGGTCTCTGTGGGTGTGTAATTCTGGGATGGGGACTTTGTGGGGTCCATGACCCCCCCCCCCCAGGCAACAGACCCCTGCTGGGACCCTCCGGGCGATCGGAACCACCTTCTGATCTCGGGACCTCACATATTCGTCTCCTTTCTGCTTCCCACAAGAAAACATGCTTTTCTTTCCACCGACCGCTCCCGCCTCTGCCTTGGATGCGGGAGGGAGGTCAGAGAGCAATGGAAACAGGATTTCTGTGAGACGCTCAGCTGGATGAGGACATGGGGAAGTGGGAGAGAGGCCAGGGAAACGCTCCTGAGTTAAATCCTTCCGGCTGTCAGCTGTCGTGAAGGTCTGGTGCCAAAGGGAGAAGAATGTCTTCCAGCATTGAGTGGAGAGAGATGGAAAGGGCCTGTGGTCCGAGGCAGGAGAGGGGACACGTGTGGGACCCATGGGGTGGTGCTGTACCTGTGGTCTGCACACCTGGTCAGACCCTTCTGCGTGGGATGCAACTAAATCGGACGACTGGCCTGTCCCAGATCTGCTAACTCGGAATCTCTGGTGATTCCCTTGTGCAGCCAATGGTTGGGGACTCACTAGTTCGGCGATTTAGTTGTTCATTCAACATCCATCCATTAAGAACTTGCTGTATCCTGGGCACTGTGTGTATTAGGCTCTGGGGATAAAAAAAATAGTAGTTTCTGGTCCCGACTCCCCTGGTACTTGTAGTTCATGTGCTGTTGAGGTGGCAGCTTGTCAGATATGCGCCTCAGTAGCTGCAGAGCGAACCGTGCTCCACACGCCACCATGGGCAGGGCGCTGACGCTGTGCCCTTCCCTGCAGGGACCTGAAGTTAGACAACGTCATGCTGGACTCGGAGGGGCACATCAAGATCGCCGACTTCGGGATGTGCAAGGAGCACATGATGGACGGCGTCACGACCAGAACCTTCTGTGGGACTCCAGATTACATCGCCCCGGAGGTAGGGACCCCCATTCTCCTGTTTCCTAGACCAGCGCCTTCACACTGCAGCCACTGCTCCCTGCTGGGGTGCGGAGCCGTCCTCGAGTTACTGTGTGGGCCTGTGACGGCAGAACGCACTACACAGCAGAACAGGAAGTAGAGACTCGCACGCTCGTGCCACCTGGTCGGTGCACGCCTCGTTTTTGGATCTTTGCTCTCCTATGTGCGTGGGTAAGCCAGTTGCACAGTTTCGTGGTCACGGTCCAAACAACTTAAGAAGCTGGGGCAGGGAAGGAGGGCTCTGGCTTGTCAGCATGTTCTTCATGGGAAAACTGGGTCAGAAGGTGGTTCCGGCCCTGGCTTTTTCGGGAAATCGGAGTGATTAGTGCTTAAAGGGCACGTGGGCATTGACTGTGTGTTTATTCTGGGACGGACGCACCCGTGTGGCTCTGAGCAGAGTGGCTCTGAGGTTTGTGTGCTGACAGCCGAGGCCGCGCTGCTTTGTCTTCCTGATGCTGCGTGTGGAGTGCTTTTCTTCCTGGGCTGTACCCAGGCGCCGTGCAGCCAGCTCTGCCCACACACAGCCCGCGGGTGGACCGTCGCTTCCCGGCGAGCTCCCGCAGCTGCAAGGGGGTGGTTCAGAGTCAGGCCGGCCCTCGGCTGTCTGTGGCAGCTGGTGACGGCTTTGTGGTATTTAGTCAACACAGCGTCCCCGGTATTTCTCTCGGAGGCAGTCGGGACAGTGGGAGGGATATGAGTGTAGAAGTCAGACCCCGGTGAGCTTCCGTCCTGCCTCTTATGTACAGGCTGTGGGACCTCGGGCCAGCTCCTTGCCCTCTCGGAACCCGTTTCCGCAGGGCGAGCTGGGAGAAGGATAAGCTCCGTGCAGCATTGCTGTCAGGACTCCAGTGCCTAACACGATGCTTGGCACCTAGTCAACCCCCAGGAGTGGCCATTATTCCGGAAGGGAAACTGATGCATGTTCCTTTGTTAAGGGCTTCTTGTTGGTTATATTCCTAGAGCATGTGGAAACGTAGAGTTAGACTATATTTTTAGAAACTTAAACTCTGAATTACATGGGCAAAGGCATTATGTTATTTGATGAGTAATTTATTGGGATTTTTTTCCCAAAAGAGCTCACATATTAGTATCCCCAGGCATAACATGAGCTTAAGTAGCCCTATTTTCAAACATGAATAGCAAGATCTTACAGTAGAAATACCCCCCCACCCCACCCCCGGGCCATGTCATGCTAAGAACCTGGGAACAAGCTTTCAGACGGAGGGATCCTAAGGACACCTGGCAGAGAGAGGGATGCTGGGAACACGCCCTCAGAGAGAGGGATGCTGGGAACACACCCTAGAGCAGTGATGGCGAACCTTTTTAGCTCGGCGTGTCAGCATTTTGAAAAACCCTAACTTAACTCTGGTGCCGTGTCACATATAGAAATTTTTTGATATTTGCAACCATAGTAAAACAAATATTTATATTTTTGATATTTATTTTATATATTTAAATGCCATTTAACAAAGAAAAATCAACCAAAAAAATGAGTTCGCGTGTCAGAGGTTCGCCATCACTGCCCTAGAGAGAGAGGGATGCTGGGAATGTGCCCTCAGAGAGAGGGATGCTGGGAACACACCCTCAGAGGGGGATGCTACTTTGGGCCTCGTAATACCCGGTAGATAGCATGGGCTGGCCTTAAGTACCGTCCGTTTCCGCAAGCCTCATTCCTCTCCTTACACTCACTGCACAAGCAAGAACAAAGAAAGCCCTCTGTTCATCGAGTGTCTACTACGTGCCAAACACCTTACACACTTCCCTCCGATCCCATACCCAGCCCTGTAAGGGACGTAACATCAGGCCCCGGTTGCAGGGCAGGCGCCTGCAGGGTCAGGAATGGTCTGAGGCCTCCTTACTAAGAGATGCTGGAGTCAGGCGTCCACCCCTGGACCGCCTCCAGACCTTTGCACTCCCACCACACTAAATGCTGCTCACACCGCAGGGAGTCACGTGTTCAGAGAGCACTGCGCATGCTTTCCTGGGCGACCGGTGCCACCAGGGTGCAGGGCGATATCAGATGAGGGCCCTGACCTCAGGGTGCTTACAGCTTAGGGGAGGGGAGCCCCGTGCAGACGAGCAGAAACCGAGATGGGTTTAGGTTCCAGTCAGCCTTCATTGAGAACTGAGCGGTGCTGCTCTGGGAGCTCAATCAATAGTGGCTGGCGGTTGTTTCCCCTTCGGCCAGCGTTCTCCTCCGAAGGGCCCCCAGGGGTCATTGTGGGGGGGAGAAAGACCATCTAGGGTCGAGGTTTCTGAATTGGGTAAAAGGTTAACATTCTCCTGTCCTCTGTGTAAATTGTTCTGTCAGGTGGAGGCAAAATAATTATCTTAGATGGCATTTCCCTTAATAGGCAAAGCAGAGGCTTAAATAGTTATGGCTGTTTGTTCAGAAACCTTGAAATGGATTAGACCATAGCATCTCCTCAACCGGGGAGAGGAGCTATGGCGCAAAAGGTCGCCATCAGGTGTGATTTTGGAGTTGAGATGGTCGCCCGCGTAAGGGGCACTAATCAGAAAGTAATTCCTGGCCATGCCCATGTGTTCAGTGGTTAGAGCACCGGCCGCACACTGAAGGGTCTCGGGTCCAGTTTCTGGGCAAGGGCGACTACCTGGGTTTCAGGTTCTATCCCCGGCCCTTATCAGGGTGCATCCGGGAGGCCAACAGATCTATGTCTGTCTCTCTCTCTCTCTCTCTCTCTCTCTCTTTCTCCTCCCTCCCTTCCACTGTAAAAATCAATGGAAAAAATATCCTCAGGTGAAGAATAACAATAAAAACCCAAGTGATTCCAACTTGAAAGCTCCCTTTGCTTTGACCTGGAAAGAATTCTCCGGGTCAGTGAGAGTCCTTGACAAGGCCACACAGACACTCTATCTGGACTTCATCCCCCACCGGGAAGTCAGTGATGTGGGTGTCTGAGAGCCAGCTGCAAATCAGCCTGTCCCCCAGCCACGGACCAGACTCTGGTTCCTCGCCTCACCCTTTTCCGGAAGAGAGAGAAGCAGCAGGAAGAGCATGTGCCTCCGGCTGGTGGACCTTCGCGTCCCTCCCGTGGGACGGGAGCGAGGCTTTCTGAAAATGCGCCGCGTGGAATGCTCCCTTGCAGCCTGTGGAGGGGGCGTTAGACCACACACGAAGGATGTAAGCCGCGATGCAGTGACTGTCTTCTGCCGTGTCACATTTCCTGCATGTGCAGGCGTTAAGTGACCTGCCCGAGGTCACACAGCTGGTAACATGCAAAGGTGGGATTAGGGCCCAAGACAGTCTGGCTCCAGAGCCCATGTATGGAGTCTTTCCAGATGTTTGCCCCATCTCCAGAAGTAGGAGAAAACTCCCGGAGTGACAGTGCGCTCAGATGTGATAGCCCATCTTTTCTTTGACATCCTTTAGGCCACGTTGCACATGTGGCCGTTCCAGATGTGACCCAAGTTGCACATTCCTCCACCTGAACGGCAGTCAGAGCCCTGAGTCAGGGGCGGCCCCCGGCACCTGTAATGCGGTCGGTGACTTGGGATCTCACTGCAGCTGTTAAGACCAAGCAGGTCCCTCAGAAGCCAAGGGTGAACCAGCAACACTGAGTCCCTCTCCCTCACGTGGCACCCATTAGTCGGGTGTTTAGCAAGTGCCTCCTAAGTGCCTGGGCACGCTGGGCGGGAAAGGAGAGCCCAGAAGGGACCTGGGAGGAGGCTGGGGCTGGGGGCAGTTAGAAATACTGTCTGGGTTTAGAGACACGTGGGTTTAGAGACGTGGCGAGACAGTATTCCCCTTGCCAGGAAGAGGTGGCACCTCCAACACGGCTGAAATGGCCAGGAGAAGTCTGCGGGCACCTTGGCCACCCCGTGGCCGGCCAGCCACAAGCAGAGGTGTAAACCCCTGGGAGAGTGGGAGCCGGATGAGTTTAGAGCTGACGACCTGTCCTTCCAGCCCAGCATTGCCCATGACAGCTGCAGGAGTCTGCATCTTTATATCACATCTGCCTAATGGTTCAAGTTGACTCTGGTATCTATTAAGAGAAAGGCCTCCAGGTAAGATTCAGCCAATGGACCATCAACTGTGACCTCTCTTCTGGAGGGTCAAGGGTCCCATCTGGAAGAGCCACATATCAGGGACGGGAGGGAAAGAGAAGACAAGAGGTGTACACAGAGGCAGAGAACCAGGAGGCTGTAGCGTCCACCTGGGATGTCCTGACCTTAGGTGTCCGCGTGGCTCCCTCCCTCACCTCCTTCCAGCCTCAGCTCAGATGTCCCCTCGGGGAGGCCACCTTTCCTGACCACCCTGTTTAAAACTGCAAACCTCCAGCCCCGCCCACACCCTGACCCTGTGGTCCTGCATCCCTTCGAGGCACTCATCAGCTGCTGATGCACTGAGGTATTTGTTTCTTATCTGCTCCACACAGCAGAACCTGTGCCTCCTTCCTTGCCGAGTCCCGCCCCCGGGTCTGAGGCCCCGGGTCTGAGGCCCCGCCCCCGGGTCTGGAACCCCGCCCCAGGATCTGGAGCCCCGCCCTGCAGGCAGATGCCTTTGGGACCACTGGATGCGGCATGCTGCCTTCCAAGGTGCGGCTGTGGCACAGGAGACCAGGAGCAGAGCTGCAGGCTTGGAAGCTGCTGTTGGAAGGGTGGTTCCCATGGCTGCCAGGGGCTGAGGCAGATGGCAGGGGACGGAGTGCAGAGGACAGCTGGGGACCCTGAGTGCCCGAAGGTTGGCGGGACATCAGCCCGGGTCCCCCAGACAGCCAAAGTGCCCCCAGGGTTGGCATCTCGAGACCTTTCCTGGCCGTGGGGGAAAGGGTTGTAGAGAGGGACAGAGGATAACAGGAGTAAAAGTTAAATGAGAAAGAGACTCAGGCGGTGCCCGCAGCCAGGCAGCCAGGCAGTAAATTACTTGGCAGACGGAGAAGAGCAGGGAAATGAGGTGGAGAGAGGCCAGGCGGCTCCGGCCACCCTGGGATCCGCGCC